ATAGTTTGTAACCTATTATTAAAAGTAATGAGTACTTACCTAGTGGAAAAGACATTCGATTAAGTTTTTAAAATAGTTAGGGCCTTAATTTAGTTGGAATTTTGTAAAACAAACGTTTATTTATGTTGTTTTGGTTCTGTCAACTCTCGCTGCGAAATTCCCAGCCATGTGCTGTTGCTTCTAACGCAGGCGCTGTAGGCATCGCGCGGTATGCATCGCACAGTGCGACAAATGTTTTAATTTTTGGTTAAGTTTATTAATTAAATTGTATTTAAATTGCAAACTAGTGTTATTGTGAAATTTTTATCCCGACTTCCTGTTGAGTTTGTCGCAACTGGCGCCCTTGATTCAAGATTTTCGTTCATACTTACCTGAATCCCGACCTAGCGTCGACAAATAAGAGTTGCCGAGGTAAGTGCGCTATATTTTTATTTTTTTAATAAAGTTAGTGTCACAATATATATAAATCAGTATATAAATCAGTTGATGCATGTCGTTTTAATTGAACTTACCTAGTGAAACAATGCAAATTGCAATTTAACCTTATTTCATTATTATTTATTGTATCATTTTTGTAATTATAAGGTGAATAAAAACGAAACCTACTGTTTTTTTAATAGAATCAGCACAGTGTAAGAGATCATTGATCAAGTCGTGCGCTCATACTGCGCTCATCGCGTGGGCGCGCACGGCTATGCTACTCATATGCGTGTGAAATCGACCGCACGTGTGCGTTCTCACGCCGTGCGACCTACGTGCGATGCACGATTGCTATCTGGACTGGTTTCGAGTGAAATAGACTTTTTTACACCACACTGCTCTAGATTAATATTAAATGTATTTTTATGTTATCCTCATCTGTAATTGGGCATCGCCTGTTGATGTTGAATAAATATTGTTACTATTAAGTATTATAACCTAACAATGCCTATTAGTATTTCTCCTCTAGAGCCCAATTGCAAGCCTGCTTTGAGTCTATGTAGGACGGAAAACCCTGCCCGTGACTGCCTGTGCAAAGCCCTGAAACATTTTCCTCACCTGATCGAAGACTATTAAACTAATAATTGTGTTCGAAGTCTACGATACTTTTGTATATACTGTATATTAGGGTGTCCCAAAAAAAAGAATATCTTTTTTTTTCTTGTCTCTTGTAAAAATATGTTAGTTTATCATGCTGTAAGAGCCCTTTCAAAATATCAGCTCGATTAAAAATTTTATAGGGGTCGCTCAAGATTTTTAAAAAATTTCAAAATCGTCAAAAATTGAATTTTTGTTTTAATTTAATTCTTTTTCTGGTCTCGATATTATTTTTTAGGTTGAAAATAATAAAAATTCTGTAAATTTCAAATCAATATTTTGATTTCTAAAGGTCGCTAAAAGTTCGTTGATATTTATATTCAGAGGTCGCTTGAAAACATTCAAAATACTCTACTTTGAAAGTTAAACAAATCTTGAGCGACCTTTAGAAATTAAAATATCGATTTGAAATTTTCAGAATCATTATTATTTTTAAATTTAAAAATAATATCGGAACGAGAAAAAAATTTTTTGACGATTTTGGGTAATTTTTAAAAATCTTGAGCGACCCCTAAAAATTTTTTAATGGTGCTGATCTTTTGACAGGGCTCTTAAAACATGACAAACCAACATATTTTCACAAGAGAAGAGAAGAAAAAAAATATTCTTTTTTTTGGGACACCCTACTATATATATAATTACTTTATAATTTTGTAGATACTTTTACCTTGGTAAATAAACCAGTTTAACTTATAGGTCAAGTTTTTTCTTGTTTTAGGTGAGAAAATTCTTAAATTAGGTACGTACTTTACGAAAAATAAGTACTGGAAAGCAACTTTTAGGTGGTAAAATAATTAAATTTATTATTGTATAAAATTGTATTAAACAAGATTTTTATGATTTGAAATTTCTTTAAATAACTGACCAAAATATCTAATCCATCATCATAAATTTTATAATTTTTAAATGCGGCGGCACATTTAAAATGTTTTTGTTAATAAGCATACAATTCCGGAAAATAACAAATTCACATTCATTATGATATAAATGTTTTTAGTTTAAATTAAGTCATCTGAATACAACCCCAATGTTACCAAAAAGCATGTTTTTATGGTAAAATTTGAAAATTTAGTTAATTTCTGTTAAAATTACACTAGTTTAGGTAGTAAAATGTAAAAATTGGGTCCATTTCTCTTGAAAATAAAAATTTGGGTGAAATAAAATCATCATTTTCTTCAAAACGGATTTTATTCCATTGCACCTAAAGTTATGATTAGCGTAGACAAATAGGTAATAACACTAAAATCCCATCTCTAATGATGATTAAATAATATTATAGTATAACCCTGCTGAAAATGACGGATGATTGCGGATATAAATTCTTCGTCAAAACCGGATAAAAGCAGATGATTGCGGGTATAAATTCTTCGTCGAAGCCGGATCAAAGCAGATAAAAGCGGGTAAAAATATCATCTGATAACATCTGCTTTTGTCCGCATCGCTATATCCGCGAACACCCGGTTGGTTGTGTTTTATGTCCGGTTAGTGCACCCCCGCAATCATCTGCAATCATCTGTTTTTAACCGTCTTCACTGTGTTTCGTTTATATCTGAATTTGTCCGGAATCATCTGCAAACGTCTGCTTACGTCTGGTTTTATCCGCGATTACCTGCATTTTTTGTCTGGTTTTATCTGCAAACGTCTGATTTTATCCGCGAGCATATGCTTTTACCCGCAAACGTCTGCCTAGTCCAATTTCACCCGCCAACATATGCTTTTATCCGCCAACATCTGCTTTTATCCGCGACCATCTGCTTTCATCCGCGAACATCTGCAATCACCCGCGAACAACTGCTTTTATCCGCGAACATCTGCAATCACCCGCGAACATCTGCTTTTACCCGCGAACGTCTGCTTTCATACGGTTTCACCCGCAAACATTAAACATATATGTTTTTTAACAATTAATTTAAATGTAAGCTTAATGATTAAAAAATGTCTATTTATGTCTTTTAACAAAGAACTTATTTCTATTTTACCAAATAATATTGAAGTTCAATAAACTTATTTCCTTTACAGGTTGTTTTTATTCAAATAATTCCTTTATAGTTATAAAGTTGTTTGCCATGAACGGCTAACAACCAGTTAGTTAAAGCTTAGTAAAATTTGACAAACCAGGTAAACGAAACTTAAGTATACAGGAGAAAAAGGAAAACAAAAAGCTCGAATGAAACCAGACGTACGAAACAGGACTGAAATGGACAAAGGAAATGCAGGCAAACCGAACGCGGATGAAAGCAGAGGTTTGCAATTAAAAGCAGATGTTTGCAGATGTTCGCGGATAAAAGCAGATATTTTCGGATAAATGCAGATGTTTGCGGATAAAATCAGATGTTTGCGGATAAAAGCATATGTTTGCAGATAAAATCAGATGTTTGCGGATAAAAGCAGATGTTTGCAGATTAAAATAGATGTTTGCAGATAAAAGCAGATGTTTGGAGATTAAAACAGATGTTTGAGGATAAAAGCAGATGTTTGCGGATAAAATCAGATGTTTGCGGATTAAAACAGATGTTTGCGGATTAAAGGAGGCGTTCGCGGAGAAATGCAGATGTTTGCGGATAAAAGCAAAAGTTTGCGGATTAAAGCAGACGTTCACAGATAAAAGCAGATCTTCGCGGATAAAAGCAGATGTTTGCAGGTGAAATCGGATGAATCAGACTTTTGCGGACTAAATGAGATGTTTGCGGATTAAAACAGATGTTTATGGATTAAAGCAGATGTTCAAAGATAAAAGCAGATCTTTGCGGATATAAGTAGATGTTCGCAGGTGAAATCGGATGGAGCAGACTTTTGCGGACTAAAGTAGATGTTTGCGGATGAAATCAGATGTTTGTGAATTAAAATAGATGTTCGCGGATGAAAGTAGATCTTCACGTATAAAAGCAGATGTTTGCAGGTGAACTCGGATAAAGCAGACGTTTGCGGATTAAATTAGATGTTTGCGGATAAAATCAGATAAAACCGGGTGAATGCAGATATAAACCCAAATACAGGTATTTGCGGATGAAACCAGATGAAAGCAGACATAGAACTAAATAGATAAAACCCGACGTTCGCGGATAATATTTATACCCGCAATTGCAGATAAAAACCGACATGCCGGGTAAAATCAGATATGTCGGATGAAAACAGATATAAATGGACATAAAACTAGCTTGGTTTTTTATTCGCAATCATCCGATATTACCCGTCTTTTTCAGCAGGGAATGTTTATCTTTTATATTTAAATATTAATAAAGGAATTAAACGACAGAAAATAAATGTATAGGTTAAAACACAGAATATTAACAAAACAAGTGTCAACTATATTTGTCTATAATCTATAAATTGACTGGGAGGAAGGAAGTAAGGCAATCTATAAATCGGAATTAAAATTGATAAGGTAAAATTAGCTTCCCCTGCCAAACACAAGTAGTAGAAAGAACCGTAAATTTAATTTAATCTATCTGAACCCAACCCAACCGTTGTCAGTCACCTTGAAAAAAAATGTTTTTATTACCAACCATAAAGTTTTTTATTCTTTTTGTGTCACATCTTTTTTACACTGCTCCAGGAAATCTAAATAAAAAATATTCAAACATTCCTATATATATATTATATAATATATTTATAATAAAGAAATAATAAAAATTTAAAATGATATAAAATCTGTATGATTTGGATTTTTTAAATAAAATTTGAAATTTGTCGATAAACTATGGTAAATAATAAATTGCACCAATTAAATTAATATTATATTTATTGGGGGCGCCATGGGGCCGGTACGGCAGAGCAAAAAGTCCCATATCTAATAATTGAGATATCGGTTTATCCAAAATCCACCAGCCTCTACTAGCACTATGTTAATATTAAATTTATAACAAAACCAAATGAAATCAGACATGGATCCTCGCTTTAATATTTTTTATTTTATATTTTAGATTTTCTCAACTTTACCCAGAAATCAAGTACCCCCACTACCGTTATCTTTGAAAAGTAAAACAGAATGTGAAAAAAAAGTATCCAATAATCTTATAGATTTATCAAGCGATAAAAACAATGTAAGAGTTAGTATCTTGGAAGAGTTCGACCCTCTTTTATCTTCAAGTTCCTACAGAACAATGAGCCAGGATATATGTGTTGGTAAGTTAAATTAGAACGTTGGGGTTCATCAACTATCCTTCTATGTATAAGTATATGTTTTTTTGGAGAGCTAGGGCGGTTAAATTAGAGAAAAATTGCGTAATTGCAAGTAATGGCATTTAAATTAAAATAAAGCGGTTCTCAATTTAAAAACTTGTCAAAATCAAAATTGTTATAACTTAGTTATTCTTAGGAATTTTAAAAATAAACATACACATCATCCAATGTGACATTTTTCGCTAACTAGATTCCCACCACCCTATTAAAGATGCCCTACAGAACCCATATTGATCCAGATAAGGAAACTAATATGGATTTATATGGTTCTATATGTCATATATGGAACGACCTGGTTTACACTTTGAAATCTATATGGTTTAATATGAAATTTCATTTTAAAATGTACAACCTAGGGATTTTTATATGGTTTCTGTTTTATGTGTCTTTCCATATAGGTTTCCCTATATGGTTGAATATGGAATTCCATTTTAAAATGTATATATATTTAAACGAAAATTGCATATTAAACCATGTAGATTCCCCTATATGGATAAATTTTTTCCTTTTCATTATTTTGTCAATATTATTAAAATCTTTTGAGGTAGCTCCACATATGTAACACTTCTGCGTGGATGGTGTTTCCGTAATAGCATTACAAACTTTGCCATCGATCATTGCAAAAACCATACTGTGAGTGACTGAAATAGATCTGCCGTGTAAGTTTGTGTTCACTGTTTTGTAACTACTGTATTTCGGCATCTACCCGATTTTTCTCTGCTACAGAAATTTCCTTTGATTCCTTAACAAAAGTAATTTTCAAAGGTCTGCAGTACCTTGTGGAAGACGGACGAGGGTTCTGCCAAATGATTTTTGAGTTCTTGCTATTTGGATCACACACTAAACGAAGAGGTACGATAGTCGTTATAAATACAGATGAATCACTGGCTTCAGATCCATGAAACGCCTGCTTGTAGGAACTGTGACCTGAGCTGCCATCGAAGCCCCACTTTGTTATTAAATGTAGTTTGCTCAATTCCTCGTTGGGTAGTGATAATAGAACATTTTCCTGAACCGTTATAAGACGTTCCACAGTATGATTGAGAAGGGCCTGCAGGGGGACATCAGCCGAGGTTTCACTTACTCTAATATTATTTAGATAGCATTTTTTTTTCTCATCTTGTAATATTTTGTATGAGGGAAATCTATCCGGATTGCTCTGTCTTATTAAATTATATTAAAATCTAGACAACTTAGCATCTACCATTAAAGCCAGGGCATCTTCACCAGACATTTTGCACGGGCCTTTCTCTAGTGATGTTTTGTAACCCTTTCTAATTCTGCACGCCCGTTCTGGAGAAGTTGTAGTGATTTCCTTTAACAATTTGGATGCTTCTTTATTTCCTGATGCCCTTAAACTCATCTGTGTGGCGAAACTTAACTCTGTAGTGGACGTTGATTTTCGCAGGTCTTCTGTTTTTTTGCGTTTGGTTCGCTCATTGCTCTCTTTAAAAGAATCTGTTGGACGTCCTTTCTTCGTTGGGTTAGACGGCTCATAGCAGGTAAAAAAAATTAACGTCTCCAGCCAATTATTATATTTCTGAAGAAACCTGTGTTTACATCTTCTTACATTTAACCATCTAGACTTAAATTCAGACTTGAAGTGGTATATTTTGCTATTTAAAACATTTAAAGCAGATTCAGGACAGCCTGTACGTACTTGAAGATAATTCGTTAAAAACTTGAATTGTTCATTAATATTACTCTGACCAGAACTTGTGAAGATATCATAAAGTTATTTTCTTGATATTGCTACGGTGCTTTCACTATGTCCTAATTTGCTGGTTGTGGCCTCCTCGTTTTCCATTTTGATTACAAAAGTCACTAACACAAACTCGATATCGATAAAACACAGAAAATGAAATATTGACCACTGCAAATGCATTAACACAAATGTAATGTAATGTAATGTGACCTGAACAACAAAGGGGGGCTACTGGGCTTGAACCCGAGCAAGAGTAGGTCAGTAGGACCTTTTACCCTTTCTCTTGGATAGGAGTGGTTGCATTGGGTTTGGTGGTGGGGGGTTTGCTTTCGCAAACTGGGGTGTGGGGTGAAAGGTCGGGATAGTAACGGTATTTGGACCGCCAGCGGTCTAAATATTATATAGCAGGGGAACGGGAGTATCAGTGTCTATAATAAGTCACTGCACTCCCGCTGTCTGCATAGTTGTACCTTGGATTGTAGCTTTGGAGAAACATGTGGGCCTCCGTCCTGGCTTGGGGTCTGAAACAGCTGGTTTAGTGGTTAAGAATGAAAGTGTAAATATGTTTTATTGCATTGGTGGGAGATGGGTGTGGTATGCCTCTTTTCAATATGTAGTTAATTGTAAATGTGTATATAATTCATGATTTAGAGTTTGTTTGGGCTTTTATAATATATATGTTTTTTTGTTTTTGTATGTAATAGTTTAATTTATTTTATTTTAGTTTATTTATTTATTATTTTTTAACCCATCTCCATCTTTTCAAAATAAGATAAACAAGCTTTGTAGGAAAAACAAAATAGTGAATTGAGTAGTCTAGTTAAGAAGTGTTTCGACTGCCCCCCGGGCTCCGCGGTATCTTCTACGATTATTTGGGTTGTAGTCAATTGGTAAGGAGAGAGTTGTCTATCATCTCGGTTCTTAAAAGTGTCGCTTCCGTCAGTTTGCCGATTGTGGTGAGTAGCGGCTCTAGAGCTAGCTCTCTTCTGAGTTGCACGTTCGTTACGAACCATGGGGCAGATGATTCTCATAAAGCGGCTTTGTTGGGCTTCAAGTTTGTTGAGATGCGTTCTTGCCTCTGTGGACCACGCAGGACAAGCATAGGTGGCTATTGGTATTAGGATGGACAGCCAGATCAGGCGCTTGTTTTTCAAGGAGAGGGCAGAGTTTGCGTACAGTGGTCTTAGCGCAGGGCTTGTGCCTCGGATTTTTCTACGGGTCATATTATTTTTATGTGTTATATTTGAATCCGGGAGATTGCCCTCATATTATGGGACACCCTGTATATGGGTAGAATAAAAAATAACTTGAAAAAAGCAAGTAATAGAATAGGCATCTAAGGAACCTTACTATTTAAGTACTTACCTTAAATAGCATGACAAATATTGCCTAGTAAGAAAACAAAATGGTTCCGACATTTCGAATCTATATCAAATAGGAGTTGCGAAATGCGAATATTAGTATTTCGCATCATTTTTAACAAAAATATATTTTATTTTTTTAATTTGACTTATTTTTCTTCACAACTTCAAAATGTAGCAAAATATGAATAAAACCAAAAGACATTTGGTAAATAGACCAAGAAATTTTAATTTAAATATTAAAGTTATCCATTGGCGTGTGAGAAAAAAGTTCTGGTTTGATAAAGACTACATAATCAGGAAAAAATAGTCACCCAGTATAATTAAAAAAAAACAAAATATTAAAAAAATGTATTTCATTTCATGCGTAGTACCAATACTTAAAAAAGGAACACTTTTGTGATATGTTAAACAAATATTAGTACTTTTCGCCAACGATGTTAGTTACACTTTGCTTCTGAAGATGCCAACATCGTTGGCGAAAAGTACTTTAAGCACTTTGTGTTTTGTTTTGGTGTTGGGGAATATTTCTAATATTTGTTTATCATAGGTTTAGATAATTAAATTTTAATATTTTAAAAGAAAAATAAAATTATAACCAAAATCTCGTATCTCAAAAAAAGCACAATTTGACCATAATTTATTAATTAAATTACATTATAACAAACGCCGAATAAACTTAAAAAACTTTATTCAACAAATGCATTTTATAATAAATAAATTCCTTCCAGAGAGCCTGGTTGTTTAACCTAGCGAGGCTGAAAGGCAGAATGAATGTGCGGAGGCTCGCGCAGCTTCTTTTATAGCCGGCAGCCGGGCTGGATCGAGCGCCCTCGGTATAGAGTCGTCAACTGGTATGAGTGGGGGCTGGACAGTGGGAGAAATGTTTTGCGCTACAATCTCCCCCTCTGATGGCGAATATCGTCTCGATGAGTCACGAGGACAAAACGGTGGTCTTGATTACTTCTGATCAGGGTGAACTTTACGTGGTCGTCCTCTTCTACGGATAGGACACACAGGTTGTACCTTTTGTTCGGCTGAAACAGTAAAGCGGGTTAAGTCACTTGTATGGTACACACCGAGTGGAGTATCTGGAGTTTCCGGCAGAGCAATCTCGTAGCTGGTAGACCCATGTTTTCGGACAATGGTGTAGGGACCGTCACGCCTAGGAGCAAATTTTGAAGTAATTCCCTGCGATGTTTTGCTGAGTACATGTGTTTTTACAAGTACTTGGTCTCCAGTTACATAGTCTTGGCTGGGTTTGCGATGTTGATTAACATACGCCTGGTTCCGGTCCTGACGCTGCTCGGTCAAATCTTTTGCAACCTTTAGCGCATTTGCAAGCTGCTTAAGGTGTGGGGTTATCTCAGGAACGAAGTTTTCTGAATTAATAATGGTGCTAAAGTCATCAAGTACGTCAGCAGGAGCGCGCAGCTCTCTTCCAAAATTGAGGTATGAGGCGCTATAGCCAGTACTTTCGCATCTTGCCGAATTCATCGCGAAACGGATGGTGGGCAAATATTTTGACCATGAGTCGTGTTTATTTCCGACTAGCATACTTAACTGAGTTTTTAAATCACGGTTCTTTCGTTCCACAGGGTTGGCTTCTGCATGGTAAAAAGGTATAAATGATTGCTTCACTCCCAAACAATGACACAACTTTTGGAATACAGCGGAAATGAATTGGGTGCCGTTGTCGCTAATCATTTTTCTCGGCGTTCCGTAACGCAGTATGACGTCATTAAGAAGTATAGAGGCGCATGCCTCTGCAGTTGCTTCGGGCAAAGCAAACAGTTCGACCCATAGGGTTGCAATGTCTTCAACAATAAATATCCATCGTTGATTGTCGACTGAAATTGGTAATGGCCCAAAGAGGTCGACAGCGATTGTTTCAAACCGCTGGTTGGAAACTGTTGATTGTAATAACCCGGGAGGTCTTCGGTTACTAATCTTGTAACGCTGGCACATTCAGGGTTCCCAGCATTGTTTTGTACTTTTTTTTATGATTTTATGACAAATTTTTCAAATTTTATGACATTTTTTATGACAAGAATTTATTATTTCTAAAGTTATTTAATAAAATAAATGTAATTTTTTAACGATTTATTATATAAAAATAAATATTTTTTCTTACATCAAAATAAATATTTCTGCTATAATATTTTTAATATATGTTACTTTAGTATTTTATTATAATAGGTATTATAATCTTAAAATAAATAAAACCACAAAGGTATACAAATCTGAAATATTGGAGGCTCAAACAATGATTAACATGGGTCTCAAAAAAACAAACTTTTTTAGACCCATGTTAATCATTGTTTGGGCCTCCAATATTACAGATTTTTTAAGAGTAGTTATGTAGTTATTGTTAAGGTACTTCAGAAATAATATTTCTTGTTATTTTTAACTCTGCTTCCTTACTTGCCAAAATAGTATCAATTTCTTCAAGTCCTTCTTTGTGCCTTCCTTAGTAAAGTAATATAGTATAAAAATAAATTTACCTTTCTCATTATTTATTTCAAATTTAAAATTCATTTCCTAACCTAACTTCTTTTTCCTTCATAGTACGAAGTTCATACGTCAACAACCAAGGCCATATTTAAAACATTTTATTGCGTTTTATTCTACAGGACCGGCTTTAAATTTTATTTTACAAAATTTCCATTTTATAAAAAAGATCAAAGGTGAGAAAATTGTTAAAAAATAATGAAATTTTATGATTTCTATGACAAAATGTGAATTTTATGACATTTTAGGACAATTTAACCAATTTTATGATATTTAAAAATTTTATGACAAACGGGAACCCTGCACATTAAACAGGCAACATACTTGGCAACATCTTTCCTCATATTTGTCCAAAAATATCGCTTTGCAATGCCATAGACGGTTTTGTCCACACCGCACTGTGGGCCCAATGTCCAAACTAGGTTGCATTAATTCAATTTTTTTTCTATTTACTTAAAACTTTAAAAATAATTAAACTTTGAGACTAACCAATGCTGGTAATTAATTATATAATTTATTTTTTCATTTTCCAGTGTTGCCACATTGGTATTTTTGGAAATTAATTTATAAAATTCAACTAGTGTAACAAACCATGCCAACGTTATCTACGGATCAAAATAAGTCGATTTAACTCAAATTACCTATATACTAAGTTGCTTAGTTTAGTCGTTAGAGGCCTTTAAAGTTTTAAAAAATAACTATTTTTTTAAATATCTTAAAAACGAATTAATGAATTTTAAATATTAACGTCGTTTGGTGCTACACTCAGTTATCTTTAAAAATTAGAATAATCGGAAAAGCAAGGTTAGGTACTAATTTTCGCTTGTATTTTTTTTACTGTTGCTCACTTTGTTTAAAAACTTTTTGTCTCTTGTAAAAGTTGGATGAGCGGTTTAGCCAGAAAAAAAATATTTTGTAATGTCTGCATTAGGGTGGCCCAAAAAAAAAGAATATTTTTTTTCTTCTCGTCTCTTGTGAAAATATGTTGGTTTGTCATGTTTTAAGAGCCCTGTCAGAAGATCAGCACCATTAAAAATTTTTAGGGGTCGCTCAAGATTTTTAAAAATTACCAAAATCGTCAAAAATTGGATTTTTTTTTATTTTAATTTTTTTTCTCGTTCCGATATTATTTTTTAATTTAAAAATAATAATGATTCTGAAAATTTCAAATCGATATTTTAATTTCTAAAGGTCGCTCAAGATTATTTTAACTTTCAAAGTAGAGTATTTTGAATGTTTTCGAGCGACCTCTGAATATAAATATCAACGAACTTTTAGCGACCTTTAGAAATCAAAATATTGATTTGAAATTTACAGAATTTTTATTATTTTCACCCTAAAAAATAATATCGAGACGAGAAAAAGAATTAAAATAAAAAAAAAATTCAATTTTTGACGATTTTGAAAATTTTTAAAAATCTTGAGCGACCCCTACAAAATTTTTAATCGAGCTAATATTTTGAAAGGGCTCTTACAGCATGATAAACTAACATATTTTTACTAGAGACGAGAAGAAAAAAAATATTCTTTTTTTTGGGCCACCCTAGTCTGCATACATACTATCGATATATCGCGATAGTTACTATGTTTTATCCCGAAAATTATTGAACTAGAGATTCCTTTTCTGAAAATAGTTCAATTTGACTCAACGCAGTTGCTTCGTGTAGCAGATAAAAAGTGAAATACAGAGTGTTGGTAATAGGTAAATGGTGTTTAAAGAGGAGGGTTTTCGCATATTTTTTCGGTCACTTCCGGTTTCACCGGAAATGGGTCCAGGTTCAAAAAATTAAATAGAAACCCCTGTATAAATTTTCATTCTCGGATTCTTAACATAATTCTGGACAAAATGTAATTTTTTAATGCCTTTTGAGCAATTTTTAACAATGCATCTAGGCCACCTTGATGTAATATAAAAAGAATAAGTAGGCGTAAACACTTTTAACAAATATTAAACGCCATGTAAGTATATAATTTGCTCATTGCCCAAGCAATACATGCGATAAACAACTTAAAGATGCATATTGATTGGTAATATTTTCTTTTCTAAGAGGTTTACATTTTTGACTGGGATAAGTTTCGCGATTTTTTGCGATTTTTTTGGTTAACAGTTTTTAGTAGTCTACATCTTTGTCTAATAAAAAATATATATTTTGGCTTGGCATTCGTTGGCCTTCCTATTTTTTTACTCTGCAAAACATAAAAAATTAAATATTCATGTTAATTACCTTATCAGTTCTTGCCAAAAGCAAAAAAAAAACACGAATTTTCTATAATTTTATGTATCCAACACAACTAATTGACAGGTCTAATGTCAGTTATGAAATGTTTAAGACGACTTTTGCTTTTCACGGCCCTCTAAGCTATAAAAAAAAATCGCAAAAATCGTAGTTTTAATTAAAACGATTGCATTAAAAATAGACTTTCTTTTAAAGATCTGACATTGGGCATTTATAAAAAAGTGTTCGTAGAGTATTTTCAAAAAGCAATTATGTTTTTACAAGTTTGAATATGTTTTTAATAAAACAATAGTGGCAAATTATACATTTTCAATAATGACTTATTGCAACCTAGTTTGGGCATAGGGCCCACAGTGCACCGTGGTGACCGGCGGTTGAAGCATCATGATACGCTTCTAAAATTGAAGCTTTCTCAGACTCAGGTGCAACGAGTTTTGCATCATCATCATCTTGGTCCTCAGTGTAACGAAATAGGACGCCTTGTTGTAGAAAGTATCCTCGCTGATGCCATTTCTCTGTACACTCGTCTTGCTGACTCTCAAGATCTTGAATAATTACCTTTAGATGCGCGTCATCTAATTGTAATTGACGGAGTTCCTTTTCCGTTCTGTGCGGCATAGTTAACTCTATTCGGCAGATGGAACAATCTTCCGTATGTTCAGTACATGGCGGTCTTGACAGAAAGTCGGCAACCTTGTTCGTGCGCCCTGGAGCATATTGTATTTGCAAGTTATAAGCCTGTAACTGTAGTGCCCATCTAGCGAGTCTGCCTGTTGGGGTCTTCAATTCCATCAACCATTTAAGAGGTTGGTGGTCGGTGATAACTATGCAGTCTGCACTTTCAATGTATCCACGGAATTTTCCAATTGCCCAAACAATTGCCAAAGCCTCCCGTTCGGTTGTAGAGTAATTTCTGGCGTATTCGATTGGGTGTTCGTTAGGACCTTCCCCCTGGATTAAAACTGCACCGATTGCATATCCGCTTGCGTCCGTCTTAACAATAAATGGATCTTTTTCGTTGGCCTGCTGTAGTACTGGCGTGTTTGTCAGACGTTGTTTCAGTTCGCTATAGGCTTTTGATTCAGATTCACCCCATTTCCATACCATGTTCTTTTTTGTAAGATTGGTAAGTGGTCGGGAAATATCCGCAAAATTGGGAATAAATCGTCTGTACCAAGAGCAGGCTTGAATGAACGACAAGAGCTGCTTGACGGTTTTGGGAGGCGGTAGGTCCACGATGGTTTGTACCTTTGAAGGGTTGACAGTTATGCCACTTTGCGTGAGTACATGACCGAGATAGAGCAGTTCACGACACGCAAATTTACACTTAGCTCTGTTAACTCTTAGGTTGTAAGAATTTAGTGTGTTGAAAACATTGCGCAGATCTTCAACATGTTGTTCAAATGTAGGTGACCGTATAATAAAATCATCCAAATACGTCAATAATGACACGTGGTCGAGGGTAACGCGAACGCGGTCCATTAGCCGTTGAAATGCGGCGGGAGCATTCCGTAGGCCAAAAGGCATTCTCTGGAAAGTATACACACCAAAAGGCGTTATAAAGCCCGCTTTTTCTTGATCATCCGGATGGATCTCGATCTGCCAATAGCCTGACGTTAGATCAAGACTGGACATAAATGGCATGCTCTTTGCAGCGTGCAGTAGATCGTCTATCCTGGGTAAAGGGTAATGGTCCGGGATTGTTATGGCGTTAAATCGCCGGTAGTCAATGCATACTCTTACATCTCCAGCTCTCTTGGGAACTAATACAACCGGTGCGGTCCACGGAGTATCGCTTTCCTTAATAATATCATTACTGAGCATTTCATCGATTTTCTGTCGTAATTGACTTTGACGCGTATGGTTAAGTCGGTACGGAGGACAGGATATAGGACAGGTGTCTGTGAGTTTTATACGAAATTGCTTACCACAAGCAGGAGGTCCATTCTTCCTAAAAACATCCTTGACTTCGACCAGTACATCGTTTAATCTTTCACGCTACTCTGCATTAATGGTGGTTGCCTCATGATCCTGTAGTTTAATGTCCAGTGCAAATAATCGGATGTCCAATTTCGACTTCTTTTTCACAGGAGAGTAATTAAACGGTAGCGAGTCGCGAAAAATGTTGTCGATAGTTTCTGGTGAGTAAGGTTCATCTTCATTGTCCGAAGGTAGTGGTGATGTAAAAAACTCAATAAATGGTGAAGTTGCCTTACTATTGTCTTCTCTTTCGGCAGTAAAACGTTTCACTGGTAAAACTTGGCCATTATCCGGAACGTTCTCTTCGGTTGCCGTGCGAGACACCGGACATGTAACAAATTCGGTCACAAATCGCATCTTTGTGGAACATTCAGAATAATCCCGCATCTTTCCAAAAAATCGATTCCCAAAAGTGTTCGATTGTCTTTGTCTCCAGGTAGGACGATAAGATCTATCTTAAAGGATCTGTCTCCAAGAACAATGGGAGCGTTTTCGGTAGTAAGAATTTCTTGTCTCCGTCGCGTCCCGTCAGCCAGCGCTACATTCACCAATTTGGTTTGAAATTTACAGGAACCATTCTCAAGCAATTTTTTATACAATGACGTGCTTGCGACGCTGGTTTTTGCACCGGTATCGATGTAAGCCAATCTCGCTTTGCCACAAATTTTTACTGGTATTGTCGGAACTTCAGCTGTTTTCTGGACGACAACATTAACTGCGCAAAATTCAATTGCTGAGGCGTTAACATCCCTCGTTGTTTTTGAACAAGTTGGACAATTGCTTCTGTAAAAGCCAGGTTTACCACATCCATAACATGTAATGGTTGGTGTTCGAGGCGAAATTACAGTATTACTCTGATTGCGAGTGTATTCATTAACAGCTGGTTTTGGAGGTTGAACTGCTTTTGTCTTCTCAGCTTGATTAAGACGTTTCCTGCATTGATCGTAAGTGTGTCCTTTATAGTGACAAAAGGTGCAACGACGCGAGTTTCTTGCAGGAGGGTCTGCTTGTACTGTTTCGACTGGTAGCATTTCTTTTTCGAAGTCCTCTATTTGACGCGCCTTGGTCAATAAGTCAGCAAACGTGGCAACACTGTCTCGAGGAACTTTCGTACGGATTTTTACGTGAAGGAGTGAATATATTAGATCAAGTTGATCGTGTCGATTTTTGGGTAATTGAGCCAATAACGATCTTTTATGACAGATAAAAATGTCCATAGGAGAATTTGCTTTCTGTGTTTCGGAAAATATTTCCTTATAAATTACATAAGCTGGTTTTGCGGGGGAGAATGCCGTTCTCATCAACCCTGGTATATCTTGCCACCTTGTGCCTTCTGTTTTAATGCCCTGCCACCATGTTGCGGCTGTATTGGTTAACAATAATGGTAAACCTATCACAGCGTCTTCGTCTGATATTCTCTCAATTTCTTTGTAAATTGTAATTGTCGTGAGAAAATTCTCTAAATCATCGTGAGTGCTCTCCCCGCCATACCGCGCAGTACATTTGCTAAAACTACCCTTGCTGGACACATTTGTCGCTGTAAGACTAGTATCAAGGGTATTTAACAATAATTGTTGAAATTGTTCTGCTGATAGTGTGGCCGTCATGTTGGCTTGACGTGCCTTACTTCTCGTATTTATGTGGGACAGGGTGTGTTGTGTTTAACGCTTGCTATTTGCAGGACAAATTATTTAAGCAGCGTCTAAAACAATCAGAAGACAAGGTCAAAAAAATGACGCTTACCGAACTAATGTTTATTACGCTCAGAAAAAATTATTGAAACGCAGCACATAAAACAATTAGAAGACAAGGTCAAAATAATGACGCTTACCGAACTAATGTTTTTACAGCTTCGTTAAACAGCGATTTTCTATAAATCGGAAGTAACAATTACTTAGAAGACTAGGTCAAAATAATGACGCTTATCGAACCAATTAGTTTTTCTTAGCGTAAACAGGTTGTTGCGACAATTGAGGTTAAAGACAAAATAATGTCGTTTATGCCGCCAAATTATCTCAAAATACCCGAAACAAAATGTAAAGCAAAGTACCTGTGAGTTTTTCGGCCACTAAGTTGGGAGCCAGTTATTACAAACGCCGAATAAACCTAAAAAACTTTATTCAACAAATGTATTTTATAATAAATAAATAACTCCGAACGAGGAGCGCTTCCAGAGAGCCTGGTTGTTTAACCTAGCGAGGCTGAAAGGCAGAATGAATGTGCGGAGGCTCGCGCAGCTTCTTTTATAGCCGGCAGCCGGGCTGGATCGAGCGCCCTCGGTATAGAGTCGTCAACTGGTATGAGTGGGGGCTGGACAGTGGAATAAATGTTTTGCGCTACAACATTTATTTTTTATAAACTGGTGAAATTATATTAAATAATAAATATTAGGGTGTTTCAAAAAGAGCGATGCGGTTTTTTTAACTATCGGCTGGTGAAACTATAATGTTATAAACTGTATATAACTGTATAACTGTATTATTGGAAAAATACCACGTAAATTTTGTATAAAAAAGTTGGCGATTATTTATTTAGATATATTCGTTTTTAAATAATATTTTTATTTTAAGGTTTTAAAACTATTTATTCATATAAAAGGATTAAAAACACAAACTTATAAAATACATGAACTTTGCCAACCCTAGCTGCCCTATTTAAAGTGTTTCCATACAACAAATTTAATAATCGTATGTGCATTATATTAACTCAAAAACTACTTATTGGAAAATATTGCGTGGTAGGTATGGTACCCTGTTCATTATGGTGTCCGTTATTTACCAAGTTGATTTTTTTTCTTGCGACGCCCCCTAAATTTTTAGTCTATCGTCTAAAAAAAATTTCAGACCAAAATAAACTCTTAATATTCATAATAAACCTTGCCCCAAAGACGATACATTTCCCATTCAAATTACATGGGATTTTGACACTTTTTTCAATTAATTCTTTTTTTCTCAGGAAAGATGACTTACAGCAATAAGACATATATATTCTTATAGTAAATTGAACGTTCTACAAAAAAGGTCTTTTATAATTTTTCGATTAAATCACTCGTTAAAAAGATATTCGAGGTGAAAGTTAAACTCTGTGTACATTTTCTGATTTTTTTTTTACTTTTACGGCAAAGTTATTATTATTTCGATGAAAGTTATTAGTATATTTCTGAAAATAGATAATTCTGGTGGTATTAGGGTATACAATTTTTAAACCTGGCATAATAGGTAGCTGGTTCTAGTTTTAATCATTTTTGAGACTTTATTTATAACATAGTCAACTAATTTTTATTGAATTTCAAGTTTTGTATACTTTTATGAAATTTTCCTTCAATACAGTAAGTGACTCAAAATTACTCTTACAAGCATTCCCGCCAACACACGGAATTTTTATTGACGCAAGCGCGCTAAAGCGCATTTAGTACCTTGACGGCGCTTTAAGTCCTTTTAGTATTGTATACAAATATCTCTGCATATTGTTGTGAATGTTGTGTCGTACATTAACAGTAGTTATTTATATAATAAAACTTTTTTATTATACACAAAAAACAAAATTTAGAATTAGTGCAATTTTTAACATATAGGTAAATAAAAACTTTAAAATTAAATTTATATTGAAAATCTCATTGGAATTAAAATTTCACAAATAGTTCTATCCTATAAAAATTTAGGTTCAATGGATCTAAGACAAAATATATTTTTGATTGGAAAAACAATTACTGGCAAAAAGTTACCAACAAATAAAGAAGTTCTGCAACTACTGTACCATCACTCAAGAAATCGCAATAAATCTATTGATGACAGCTGTTCAATCGTTATACGTGAAGTGACAGGAATTTGTAGTGAAGCAGTAATTCAAACTCAAATTAATTCACGTTGCATAACAAAATTAAAAAGTCTCTACGCAGAATACAGAAATGTACAAAAACATCTTAACCAAAAAAATAAAACAAAAGAGCAAGATTTGACATTGCTCACGGTGACGTTTTTAAAATGATTGACGAGGAGACAAAACAATTTTTAATTGATCAAAGAACTCGACGGATTTTCATATAAATATTGCTGAAACAAATAATGAATTATTGCATTTGTTTATGCAACGCGAATTAATTTGAGTTGGAATTATTGCTTCACTCCAAATTCCTGTCACTTCACGTATAACGATTGAACAGCTGTCATCAATAGATTTATTGCGATTTCTTGAGTGATGGTACAGTAGTTGCAGAACTTCTTTATTTGTTGGTAACTTTTTGCCAGTAATTGAACTTAATCTTAAGATATTTTATCTTAAATACTTTTGAATCTTGGTATTTATATTTAATAGTTTAGATACATATTGAAAGTATTTGTATCTTGTATTTTTAAAAAGTATCTTAAATACTTTAAAGTATTTCAAATACTTTTTTTTTAACTTTACATACTTTACAACCGGTTTTTATTAGTTAAAACCGTCAATAACCTGAAGTGGGGGTGGAGACTGAGACAAAGCGCATAAGAGGGAGTAGTGCAGTGTGCAGTGGTGTGCATATTTGTATTGTTTTTTAAAAACTGCATATTTTATAGTTGTTATCTAATAATAAGAAAGGTAGGTAAAACAAAGCAAAAGTTTAATAGGAATAAAAGAGCAAAATATGGTAACAAATGTAAACACATTTATTTCTAGTTTGTTACCAAAGAATGAAAATATTAAAAATAACAGGGTGTGTGCTAGCTAAGCTTGACACTCAAGCTAGCACACAACCTATAAAATAATCAAATTGATAATAAATTATGTTGAGCACGATTAATTACTATTTTAGTTTATTGTATTATTTTTATCACATAACAGTTACTGCTAATCCTGTCTTCATATGTAGGTATGCTAAACTATTTTTAAACTAGTAGACTAAAGACATAATTGGATATTTTTATTCACTTTTCCTTTGAAAGTATTTGTTATCTTAAAAAGTATCTTAAATACTTAAAAGTATCTTGTACTTTAGATACTTTTAGGATTTTTCAAAAATATTTTATCTTTTATCTTTTTTAAAAAAATTTAAAATTATTTAGTATCTAGTATTTAAATACTTTTAGAAAGTATCTTTCCCAGCTCTGTTTCCAATCAAAAATATATTTTGTCTTAGATCCATTGAACCTAAATTTTTATAGGTGAGAACTATTTGTGAAATTTTAATTCAAATGACATTTTCAATATAAATTTAATTTTAAAGTTTTTATTGTTAAAAATTGCACTAATTCTAAATTTTGTTTTTTGTGTATAATAAACAAGTTTTATTATATAAATAACTACTGTTAATGTACGACACAACATTCACAACAATATGCAGAGATATTTGTATACAATATAACAAATATACAATACTAAAAGGACTGTGTGTTGGCAGGAATGCTTGTAAGAGTAATTTTGAGTCACTTACTGTATTGAAGGAAAATTTCATAAAAGTATACAAAACTTGAAATTCAATAAAAATTAGTTGACTGTGTGTTATAAATAAGACGATAGACTAAAAATTTAGGGAGTGTCGCAAGAAAAAAAATCAACTTGGTAAATAACGGACACCCTACTGTTCATGGTCTATTCAGGAACTCAGATTTTAACGTTCCGTAATTTAAATCCAGCAAATAATAAAAAGAATTTTTGTACATTCTCAGAATTTTCCCAAAATGCATAACAACCTTTTCACTAAATTCCTAAATAATGTAAAACGCTTATTAATTAAAAAAGGTAAAAGATAAAAAGAAAACCTAATTATGCAAAATTTTTGTCCTAATGTTCCTCCTGTATTTTGCCAAAAAGAAACTTTTAACAAAAATATATTTTCAGTTGAGGATGCAGCGTCTGTTAGTGATAGTGTTTATGAAGAATATGATCCGTATGATTATATACATGCTGGCTACAACGGAACTAGTGTATTGGAATCCATTAATACTTTAATAGTAAAACCAGATAATTTACCACATTCTCCAATACCCGTTTCTATAAAACCGGACATGGAAATTATAAAGGTATTGTATTAAAATTTGTATTTATATTTGTAGCTATAACTTAAAATACGTCAGTGAGTATTAGTCAACACGATAAACTAAATTTAAAAAAATAACAAATAAATTAACGAAAACTTTTTGGTTTTATTGTTAATTAGTTTTCTACCTATTGGCAATTTGTATAGTATTAATACTATACAAAATTTGGTATAGACTTTACAATGTATAGTACTTATTACTTAATTAGATTATATTATAATATAGTATATAGTTGTGTTTTGTTCATTCTACCTTAATTTAAAAAAAACTGTATAATTTTACCTTAATATTTTTATACACAATGTGAGTGATGAGGTTAATAGATTTTTAAAAAATCGTCCCTTCTACATGTATACAACTTTAAACTTTTGTGTCAAATTATTAGTTTTATTAAGGGGTCGTCCATAAAGTACGTAACACGTTCAGGGAAATGGGTTGTTTATCGTTTGTGACGAAGTATTAAAATTGTTACCACCCTACTGAAAATGACGGATATAAATTCTTTGTCGAAACCGGATAAAAGCGAGTAAAAATATATCTGATAACATCTGCTTTTGTCCGCATCGCTATATCCGCAAACATACGGTTGGTTGTATTTTATGTCCGGTTAGTGCTCCCCCGCAATCATCTGTAATCATCTGTTTTTAACCGTGTCCAATTTCACCCGCAAACATCTACTATTATCCGCGAACATCTGCTTTCATCCGCGAACATCATCTTTCATCCGCGAACGTCTGCTTTTATACGGTTTCACCCGTAAACATATGCTTTTATATGCGAACGCCTGATTTTATCCGGTTGGTGCACCCACGAAATCATCCGTAATTATCTGCTTTTGTCCGCGAACGTCTTCTTTCATCCACATACATCTGATAAAAGCAAATTTTTTTGGATAAAAGAAGGTGCTATCAAGCCGGGTCCAGATTTGTACCACGTCGCGAACCGAACCCCGTCCTGTACCACGTCGCGAGCAATCTGGACGAAACGAACAAAGTTGCGAACCTGATAAGCGTTGCAGCTCCAGGTTCGTCGCGATATAAGAGTTGTCAATAAACTGACGGAACTTCAAAGAATTGCTGCGCGACGAGGTTAAGCAAGTCTGGACAGGCAGCGTCAATTTTGTTTGTTCGGTCTTTATTTTGGCTAGCGACATGGAGTGGACCGAAGACATGGAGTGCACCGAAGACAATCATCGGGTATTTTGGCTCCAAGATGTACCGCACAGTGGCGGAGCAGTTTTAAGGAAAATCTAAGAAAATGTATTACCTGATTATAATTGTTATAGATTGATAAAATTTAAATTTATACTAATCCAATATTTAATTAATATTAAAATAAAAACATGTCGGCAAAATTGCAAGGGACACCAATGACTAAGAGGATAATTATATAATTATTTTACACTTAAGTGAACATGCAAGTTTTTAACATTATAGGTTGTTTTGGTAAAAAAAAACAATACACCAAACCACTGTCAAAACAAATATTGAAGCCACAAATTGTGTTTGATCTAAGGTCTTAAATGTTTTGAAATAAATTAAAATAAACTTGTTGTTACGCATTACGCAACCGGTGTGAATGATTCAGAGCCGACCCGTGGTGGTTGATTACATGTATTTATTTATCAGTAATAATTCAGCTGTCGGTGTGTTTACACGTTGTCTTAATTATAAATATTGTTTCTAGAATTGTTATTAGTTTCAAGTGGTGTTTGAATAAAAGTGTTAAACCTGACAAAGTGACTTTCCTTTATAAATCAGAAGTGAGATAGTATTCAGCCTGCAATGGGAAAAGCAAGAAAAAGGCGTCGATCTTCAAGTTCTTCGAGTGCGTCATCGACTAGTACATCCCAGTCTTCCAGTGACTCTAGCAGTACACGCAAAAAGGTCAGATATCTTAAACGTAAATTAAAGAAATGTACAAGCCGGTCACGACAATCATCTGCGAGTGCCACTTATGCAAGCTTTAACATAGACGAATCGTTAATACCCACATTTGATGCCAGCCACGAAAGTCTATCAACCATCGAATGGACTAAAAAAGTAGGTCAACTCAGTGAAATTTACAAATGGGAGGACAAATTAATTGTTAAGCTAGCAACGTCTCGACTAAGGGGTAACGCGAGAAAATGGTATGACTCATGCAAACAACAATGTCATAAATGGACTGAAATGAAGAAACTGTTGTTGGATATGTTTCCGTGCGATATTAAATTCGGAAAATTGTTTGTTGAAGCCGCTAATTACGTGCATGTACAGGGTGAGAAATTAAGTGATTATTGTTTTGAAAAACTTTCCAAGTTACGTAAACTTAATCTCCCTATAAGTGATGAAAACATTATTGATTGTATAATCGAGGGCATCAGCAATGAAGGCATTAAGTTAGCAGCTAGGGCAGCAAACTTTAAATCGGTAGGACTATTGGCAAATTATTTGGATTACGCAAAGGCAAACATTATCTGGACACCAAAGAAAAATGTTTCTATTGCTGATGTCCCCGGTCATTCAAGATACCCACAAACAAAAGTAAAACCCGATTTAAATGATAAAACAAAGCTATTCATCAGAAACAAAACTTGTTACAATTGCAAGGGACCACACATGGTTAAAGATTGCCCTAAAAGTATAATTAAATGTGAAAAATGTTCAAAATTGGGACACAACAAAGATCAGTGTTACAGAAATAAAATCAAGTCGCAAAACGTTAACGCGGTTGACTGTCCAGGTAAGAACATTTATTTGAAAAAAACAATTATTAATGGGAACCTAGTTGAAAACTGTTTAATTGATACTGGTAGTTCTTGCACACTAATAAAAAGATCTATTGCTGACAAGTTAAAACTTAATAACATCCCATTGGATACTTGTGTTACTTTAAGATGCTTTATGGGCAACTACCTTTCTTGTGGAATTGCAGGACAGGCGAGCATTATAATAGATGATTCCTTTGGAACTGTAAATGCATATATAATTGACGATACTCATCTGTCTTACAATGTCATTGTTGGTTGTGACTACTTGAATCAGTCTCAAATTGCAATGTATAAAATAAACAATACTTTTATGCTGAAAAATGTCTCCACCAATTGTATTGAGAGTGACAAGGAAAAACAAATAAGCCTAGATATGATTCATTTTGGAAACATTACCGATAAAGAGAAAGGTAGATGTCTTCAACTATTGTGCGAATATAAGGACAGAATTTCATTAAGCTTGAGAGACCTGGGAAAAACAAATATGGTCAAAATGCGAATTGTTTGTAATACTGACGAACCTGTTGTTTATCACCCCTATCGTATGTCCACCTATGAAAAAGACATCCTTAATGATATAATACAAGATCTATTGAAAGATGGCATTATAAGGGAGTCTAGATCTGCATATGCTAGTCCAGTGCTTCTAGTTAAGAAAAAAACGGGGGATTATCGATTGTGCATTGATTACCGTCGATTGAATGCCATCACCATTAAAGAAAAATACCCTTTGCCACTCATTGACGATCAAATCGATATGTTGGGTGGCAATAAATACTTTATATCTTTAGACTTAGCATCTGGGTACTACCAAATCCCAATGGAGGATGATTCAATCGAAAAGACGGCCTTTGTCACCCCAATGGGCCATTACGAGTTTTTGAGGATGCCTTTTGGGTTGACAAATGCACCTTCTGTTTTTCAACGACTCATTAACACCGTACTTAAAGGCTTTTTAAATAAGGTTGTGTATGCATATCTGGACGATCTTATAATCCCAGCACATAATGTCGAAGAAGGGTTATCTAGACTGAGAATTGTATTGGATGCTTTAAGGCAAGGAAATCTGACGCTAAAGTTAAACAAATGTAGATTTTTTCAATCAAACATTACATTTTTGGGTCGAGAAATCAGCGAACTAGGTGTCCAGCCTGGTACGGAAAAGATTAGAGCTGTTAGCGAAATGTGCGATCCTACTAACGTGAGAGAAGTACGCCAATTTTTAGGGCTTTCCGGTTACTTTCGTAAATATGTTAAAAATTACTCAACGATAGTAGAACCGCTCACCAGGTTATTAAGAAAGGATGCTTTATTTGTATGGTCAAGTGAACAACAAGAAGCTGTTAAAAAGGTTAAATCGATTTTGGTCACTCGACCAGTATTAACAATATTTGATGATACACTTAAAACTGAATTACACACGGATGCTAGCAGCTTGGGCTTTGGTGCAATGTTAATCCAATTCAAAGATAAAAACCAACATGTGGTTGGATATTTCAGTAAGCAGACTAGCACCGAACAACGTCGCTATCATTCTTACGAGTTGGAAACTTTGGCAGTTGTACTTGCTTTACAACATTTTAGAGTGTATCTGTTAGGCAGAAAATTTGATGTTATTACCGATTGTAATGCGTTACGTACAGCGTTTACTAAAAGAGATTTGCTACCACGAGTGGGCCGGTGGTGGTTACAAGTACAAGACTATGACTTCAATATCATACACAGACCCGGAACGAAAATGGGACACGTGGATGCTTTAAGTAGAAGTCCAATTCCGACAATGCTAGCAATCTCAACAATCGATATCACAGAAGCTGACTGGATAGTTGCGGCCCAGATCCAAGATGAGCAACTAAATATGATTCGACTTATACTCAAGGAAGGCGTTATTGATCGCACCAACAAGCAGTATTTTGATAATTACGAGCTACATGACGATAAGCTGTACAGAAAAGTTGAAGACAAATCGCTATGGGTGGTTCCCAAGTCATCTCGTTGGCAAATATGCAGACTGTGTCATGATGAAGGAGGACATTTTGGGGTAGGAAAAACCTTACACAAAATATTTGAACACTATTGGTTTCCACAAGCTCGACGATTTGTTAAGAAGTATGTTGAGTCATGCCTCTCCTGTGCTTACTATAAGCAAATAGGCGGCAAGAAGCCTGGTTTTCTGCATCCAATTGAGAAAACTCCAGTACCATTTCATACGGTACATGTTGACCATCTT